TGGATCACATCATTTTGTACCAGGTATATGGGTGGATCACATCATATTGTACCAGGTATATGGATGGATCACATATTGTACCAGGTATATGGGTGGATCACATATTGTACCAGGTATATGGTTGGATCACATATTGTATCAGGTGTATGGGTTGATCATATATACCATAGTTAATAGAGGGGAATGGTTAGGAAACCTTTTTGTTATAAGTCTTTGTTCACTTTTTTCAAACATGACCGTGCACAATCCTTTGTTTTACCATTGTTTTACCAATGYTGGCAATGACTGAGTGAACAGACCAAAATCTTTCTTTTGGCTGATAGTTCAAAATATTTCAAGATTCATAAGAGATATTTGAATATTCCTTACAACAATCCCATAGACAAAGTTTATGTTTACTTATTTTGCAACTTCGGATGAGCATAAATCAAACATTGTGCACGGTCAAGACTGGTTCAACATCAAAAGTGAACAAAGACCTATAACAATAGGTTTCCTAACCATTCCCCTCTATTAACTGTGTACATACAATACCATCAAATAGCAGTTTAAAATATTTTATTTTTGAACTTTTAAAAGAATTGCCATAAGAACTATACTGTATTACAGACTTGTGCACTGATCAATTGTAGTCAGAATGGAAAAGGTAAAAAGTGGGTAGAGTTTTTCACACTTTGTCTGTGAGTTAGTACTAATATTATTTGTTGTTCAAAATAGTGCTACATCTCTGTTGCTCTGTGTTTCTGTTGCTCACTATTCATTGGTTTATCAATAGACAGATCTAATTGTTTAGTATTTTAGTGCCTGTTTTATGCATGATCAGTTGTGTCTGGCCACTCAAACCAGTACCTCATGATCAAGCAGCCACAAATAGCTAAGCCTAAAAGTCTAGATCAAAAATTCTGAAATTTATACAAACTTATATCGGATCCCTTATATCATAGCTAGAATCGGTTGCGATGACACTCCGACTACTGTCATGTTCTAGTAGGTTCTCTTTATTAATCCATTATTTTATTATATTGGTTTTATAAGTGCTATAAGATTTATAGTTTATAAAAGACCTATGAAAAAACTTTAAATACTGAATTCAACATTTTGAAAAAATTTTCGACGATACGGCGGCCATCTTGAATCGTATGGCATTATGGGTCGCCCAGGGGGCAAAGCAAGACAAAGATGTTGAAATGACGAAGTTGTGGAACTGTTTATCTATTTTAATTCATCTCTTGTCAAATTGTCTTGTTGTAAACCGTATATTTGCCCCATGAATGACCCATAATGCCTCGTGATTCGAGTTGACCGACACATCGTCGTGGTAGTCGATTGTTTATCATTTGGTTTTATCAGTCTAACATGAGACGCAAACATTCGCCTTTATTAGAATCTTGACTACAGACTACTGATGCCCTGAGATGTCTGGCTAACTTCTGTTTTTTTCCCATCAGTTTTACCAAGTTTATAGTTTATGATCTAACTATAATAGGCCCTTTGCAGCTCAGTAATCACGTGCTGAGCTAAGATCAAATGAATGATTCAGTCCCATGGGTGAAATTTACTGTAGAGCAAACACACTCTCTACAACGTCCCTGTGTCGAGAGATCGTAACACATCGTTTCATTGAGTCCATTACAAGTAGCTAAAAAGAATCACCAAGTTTAAAATAAAAACAAACATTTTGCTCTCCAGTACAGACACGTGACCGTTAACTGCAAAGGGTCTATTTTGTGTGTTTATGGAAATAAATGCGTGATAACACACAGCAGCCATGTTGGATGGCAGAAACCTTATCCATCTTTGTTATCGCCGGCTGGGAGCACGTGATTGATTAAATAGTCAAATACCACTGACTCCACTGGCACAGCTCCATTCACTATGACGTTAAAATCCCTTTGATTGGAATACAATCATAAATATCTTAACAACGTCCTCCCTTTGCGTGTCTAACGATTCAACTCACATACCTCAAATAATTCGTCTCCTCGTTCCCATCCTGCATAAGTACCTTTCACTGATATTTCCTTAGCAACACGTCCTCTTACTCTTTATCGACCGTGTCTTTGGTATCCATTCTATACTCTACTTGAACTGCCGCGCTATGGGACTTAACGTAACTCACACTGTTCTATCCTTGTCATCCATTGCTTTTCCAATATAAATTAATTTGATTAACGAAGCGGTAATACCCTCTTATAGCAAGCCTAAATGGAAATGCACCGAAGCCTTTCAAATAAAAAAGGATTTGTAATTTTGTGAATGACTGATCTTTCCTCATTTCCTAAATGACTCCCTGCCAGCCCGCCGTGATGGCGCCTTCGAGCTGATAAATCTTTTCGCTCCAAACAACTGCCGCGCTGGTGAAAAATGACAATTATTCGTTTCTCCTCTTTGATTGTGAAAAACATCTTTCTTTCTCTAAATTGCTTTACTTTCTAGTTCTTTCAAGTTCCTTTTTTTCTTTCTTTTTTCTTTTCTTTTCTTTTTTTTTTTTTCTTTCTCTCTCTCCTTCTTTGCTTGTTTTTTCTTCGTTTTCTCATTTTATCCTTTTATTTTTCTTTCTTTCTCTCATTCTTTTCTTTCTCTTCTCTGTTTCACTTCCTTTTCTCTTTTTCCGCTCTCCTATTTTTCGTCGTCCTTCAATTTAGAGAATCAAAGCCGTCAGTTTTTATTCAGACCCTAAAACTAGTAATTTTAAACACCCTTAATGACATTTTCATGATCAGGTTGGCTCCACTCACATCAATTTGCCATGTCGGGCTTCCTTAACTCGTAGTTTAATAAATGACTTGAATCATCCTTTCCGCTGATACCCAAAGATATCATGATAAATACCCCATCTAAGTGAAACTATTGGGCAACGGAACTCAAACAGCCGCGAACACTTAGCCAGAACGTAAATCCAACAAGTTATCGGGACCATCTTTATCGAGCAACATCTTTATATAGCAACATGTCGAAATGAATAAAGGCTTTAAAAAATCCCCTCCGGTTAAACTCAAGCTCCACTTTTGTATATTCAGTGTTGTGCGCGTGAAAAGACCATTCTCGTATGAAACAAATTTAGTGTCAAAACTCTTAAAATAACAAGTGCTCGAAAAAATATTTTTGATTTTTAAAGAACTTTTTTAGCATTGGGATGATGTAATAAGAGAAACCTTAATTTGAACCAACAGTGTGTACTTCATTTATGTGCGCGTGGGAATCTCGCAAAACTGAACTCAGTTGAGTGTCTCTCATTTCACGCGATAGATCGACGGGAGGGCCATGTTGACGTCGTCAAACAAACTCATTTAATACATTATTTCTGTTTTGGTTTTAAAGTATCTTTATCGTCCGCGCCTAAAGATACTCGAAAGAAAAGCATGGAAATACTTTCATTCGGGTGCGACGTTGTCGGTTTCCAGGCCCGCTGCTGTGCGGCTGCCGCAGGAACACTGCACTTACATGTACTTTACCAAAAGCTCTGATTTGGTTGTCAATCCAAGATGTCGATCAAAAGTTGCAATCGAATGCGAAGCACTTCAAGAACAAAAACCGAATATACTTATTAAAACACAAGTATAATTAGAATAATATCATCACTAATGTTGGACCAGAGATGATAAAATTGAGTATAGACAGAAATCTAAATTAATGAACGTATAGATTTGGAGAAATATCTTTATACCTAAAAAGAACTTAGAACCTAGCTTCTGGCAGGACTTGATCGGCGGTGTTTTAGTTATTAAAAGCTTTGCCAGTGTGGCTGTTTGGCATTGATCTTTAATTTGACCTTGGTTTTACTTTTACTCTCAATTTTCTGTGGTGGTCCTTTGGGTGCAACCAAATAATCAAAGAGGCACAAAAATCCAAGTTGTAAAAAACTTCAAAACAAAGCCTCAAAAGACTCGAAGTGGCTTAGAGGAAAGTCTGAAAAAGTGCTTTCGATGTCGTTTTTCTCTCTCTCTCTCTCTCTCTTTTGTATTCGACATAAATAACTGCCCTTGGACGTTTGAGAATCCCTATTGTGTTGTCGATATTAAACGATGACAGAAAGATTGCTTAACAGCTCTCAGGCACTGACCTCTGATTCCAAAACCATGGCCATTTTCCCCATTTTCCATCCAACTTTAGTATCGAATGTCCTGAACTTCATCACAATCATCAGGCCTCATTATTTCATCAACCTTCCAATTCTCTTCTGTTATTGTCAGTTACCGTTGAACCTTTTATTTTATACCTCTTAGTATTTCTGCTGCATGAACATGGTTTATGAATGGCTTCCACGGCTTGCGTGAAGTTCAAACTTTATTTTCAAGGGTTTGCGAACGATTTTCTTTTTTTATTTTCAGTTACCGTTGAACCTTTTATTTTATACCTCTTAGTATTTCTGTTTCATGAACATGGTTTATGAATGGCTTCCATCGCTTGCGTGAAGTTCAAACTTTATTTTCAAGGGTTTGCGAACGATTCAAAGTCTGAAACAAACCCATTGCCTATTACCACCAACCTTGAGTATATTGATAATGTTAGGCATTTTTGGGGCTTCAGTTTAAGATTATTAGCTAAATGCTTCCTAAGTTTTCATGCCGAATAGCACGCACAAAATATCGTAGGGGTTTATGGGGGCTCATCTAGTTTTTCGTCAGTCACAAAGATTTTTGAGTAGCAGAATGGGCTTCATTAGTCTTGGCGCAAAGAAGCCCGGCAAAGAAGCAACAAAAGAAAGTCCTAAAACTACAGCATTATTTTTTATGTACAAGTCGTTATATATATTTGAATATGTTTATGTGAACTCATCGCTAAAAGCGACAAGAGTTTTGCTCTTTGACTCTTTAACTCTTCTCAAGTTACTTTCAAATTGCTTTATCTCGGTCCTCGACAGATGGGGCATCGGGTCTTCTTGTCGATCAACCAGACACAGGTAGCCACCCAGAGCGTGATGAGAGAGCTGTCGCTGAATTCCCAGGAGAATCAGACAAATGATAAACGAAGGTCAAAAAGCGTTTCCTTTTGAGTCCAAATTTGGCAAATACGCCCTGAAAAATAACAAACCATCTAATCAATTTATCCAAAATATCCTTCTAGTTTATTTATTTTCTACTTTTGGCCTCTTGTGTTTACTTTCCCCAAATAAATGTGAACTTTTCCCTTTAAGAATCATTTTTATAAAGTTTGTTTTGTTTAAATAAAAGCTACCCCATGGAATAGTTTACATGAAAAGTGATCGAAATAACTGGTCGGGTCATCAAATGTTATCAAAAACGTCTCAATAGTCTGATTTTGGTCAAGCATTGCACGAGGACATCACTTACGACAAAATCAAAGCTAAGAGTATCCATTTTTAAAGAGAGAGAAAAAATTAAAACTCATAGACCGCATATAGATGTTAACGGGAATATGTTATGCAACGGAAAGTAATTCCAGACCGATATTCGCCTCTGCTGTGCAATAGGTAACATACAAAAAGAAGAGAACAAATCTCATTTAAAAATCTCGTTTTCTCTGGCCATAGACGTTTACTTTTACGTTCTAGCACCATTTTTGTCAAGGATACAAATGCGCACTATTATTAACATTACATTGCACTATGCTCTGATATCAGTTCATGTTTTGTTTGATTTCCAATAGCTAGCAAACCATAAGGTCCATCGAAATCAACGTCCACCAGACCTAATGGACCATGTATCATATACTATGCGCAAAAATGATTCCCAAACATCCATCAACATGCCAGTGAATTAAATAAAAGTTAATTACGTTAATCAAATCAAATTGAAATTTCTTAAAATAAAACTGTCCAATTTTTCCTACTTGAAACACTTGCCTTATGAGGTTGGTGTTTTTAGTCCGAAGAGAATGTTTTCTGTTCTGCGATGGTTGAGGCAGACGGGTTCGCTCGAGTCCGTACTTCAACAAAGATACAAAATACAAAAGGTCCTCTGAATAACGATCCTTTACGGTGGTTTTTAAGAGCTCTTATTCACATATCAATTGAATCAAGACTGTTTTTCTTTCAAGGTTTTCCATTTGTATAAGATTTGGTCAGTACCGACTGCCCAATTTATCGGTAGCCTTTGATGACTTGTGGCTCCAATTCGGTCGCCTATCGAATAAGAACTGATTTATAATTTATTTGGAATTGAGTTAAAATACGTATACGTTGCCCTTTCTAAGATACTCCACGCCCTGACAGCAAGATAGCTTGAGGGCGTCTTATTCCAGCTAAGCTTACGAAATTATAGATTTTTTAAAACCACTTCAATGTCCTATGGCAACTGGAGTTCATAAAATCAATGCGGAGTATATTGTGTAGCTCTTTGCTTGCATAATTTTTGCCCTTTTAAAGGAAGTGCGACTATCATCAAACCTCAAAAAAGGAGATTCAACAAACCTCGAGACAGTAATTTCGTGGAATTTTACCACTAAATAATTTTGGGGGGAAAGCCATGTATTCAATACAAAGTTATAATACTGTTGAATTGAAGGTTTTTTAATCGTTGTATTGTTCTTAATCAAGTTACCCAGCCGACAATATACTGCTCGGCAGTGATAATAAAGACTTGCATGATCTCCATAGACACTCTAAAAAAGCTGATACCTATCGTCTCATCATATAAAGAGACGACATTGATCATTAGTACATTGCAGTTGATGACCGACGAAGGTGAAAGAAAAGTTGATCAATTGACACGATGGGAAGCCCTCGATGTTTAGGAGTTTTTGGCGGGCATTACTCCGAGATTGAGAATATTCGAAAACTCTTTTTAATCCTATAAGTTTCTTGGCTGTTATAAGATATACAAAAATGAATTTCAAAATCCTACTTTCTGATTTCGCTTGAGACATTTTTCCGTTAAACTTTTTAGCCGATTGATTTATTGTTTTCAGGTGGTAAGGTAAACAAGGAAAAATTGTCGAGACAAGCAAGCAATCTAGTTCTGAAGAATCTTATATGATTAACCATTTAAAAAGCAGTTTGTGAAATTCTTAAGAACAAGAAGGAAAAAAAAATGAACTAGTGGACAATCCATGGATAAACCGTACTTTTCGATGATATACATCAGTTTGTTTTCGGATTTTAACTTCGTTTCATTTATCTATTTCAGTGTGTTTAATGTTACTTTATGGCTATACATTGTCGATCAAAATCATTTCACGGAAATGTTTTAAGGTTTCGAAAGTGTCTACTCCAAGCATATTTTAGCTCCTAGTGAAGTTGACGACCAGTGCTTTTTGCTAAAATGTGGTCGAAAAGTGAGCTTCATTAAGGCACGTGCTTAAAAACCTTCTTTGAAACCATAAAAAGAAATCAAATGTTAACTATATCTTTCCTTTTCATTTTGTGAGTATCTTTTACACTTGAAGGAGAGAAAAGATTTTGATAACATTGACCATAGAACTGGTTTATGGAGATAAGAGTAAATGATTCAGTATGTATTGTTATGCTATCTCGTTGTTTTTCGATGGTGGTTTAAGATAGAGATAAGGGCTAGGACTTCAGATATAAACAATATAAAACATTAGAATCGATGTTAACTTGTTCGTTGAATTTTTACACTACCTTTCCGTCAGAAAACTATTCAAAATTTAAAGTCAAAATTAATATTCTTCGATCTCATCTAGCGTTTTTAATCCGAACAGCATAACTCTCAGAACGGTCGTTTTCGATGTAAGCCTAAGTTCATAATGAAAGTTTGACGTCTTGGATTATGGCTGTCAAAACATGCAAAAAGCATGGCTTCAAAGATCAAAAAGCAAGCTGAAAACTGTTAACAAGTTAGCTAGTGATCGTTAATAATCTCAATGCAATTCAATTTTCGAGGAAGATAATGAAGTTTGCCATTCAGTGGTAAAAGATCAAACAATAAGAAAAGAGTTCTCCTTAGTTTGCCGACGGTCGCCATACAAATTCAGTCAAAACAGTGCTGGAAAAAGTAGTTTCTTTTCTAAGGTCGCCACGCTTTACACTTCACACAAATCGAAAATAGAAAGACACTTTTAGTAATATAATCCTCTGATATTGCCAGCTAAAAGCATGCTTTGAACAAAGCAGAAACAATGGACCAGAATTACAGCTTCATTGTACACGAGGGTGAGACAATTTAATAAACTGACAAGGAATGGTTACTTTAGATGATTAGATCGATGCCTATCGCTCATTTTCCTTCATGCTCAATTAACTAGTTTGCCAAACACGACACAAATTGGTCAACTCGTCTAATGACTTACTCCAGCTTCCACCTCAAATTGGTCAAGGTTTATATCAAGGGTTCTCATTTACCTTCCCTGTGCCAACAGGAAAAGAACTGTTGTTGGAAGGGATAAACTGAAGGGCTTGAATCGGTGATCCGGTGTTATTTTGAGGGAATAGTAATCCTATACGCTTTACAGGTGCCGTTTCTCAATCCTAAAAGCAGAGGAAAGCGAGTATACAAATGAGTATTCATGCTCTTGACAGTTTTGCGGGTGGTTTTTGAATGAATAAACACTACCCTGTTCCGGAAACACCATCACCAATCAGAATAGGATAAGAGCGAACATACATTATGTTAGACGCCAGGCTAAGTACAAAATTTCCAAAAGATGTCGCTAGAATCTTTTGAAACTAGATGAGTGTAAAACATTGCGAAATGTTTGGCACTCGTCATGCCAAAAATCCAAGCGAAAAGTAGGGAAAAATCCGGAGTTGTACCTTGAAAAATTTCGATCACCGCCCAGTTTTTTTCCGCAGTTGTCGAAGGCAGTTTTTGGTGTAGGTTCGTACCGTGCTACCGTGTCAACGCACCGTGTTTATATTCAGCCCTATCTCCTGGATTTATACCTGTAACAAAACTAGATTTGTGCCTAATTTTGTTAGCAGACACAGATCATTTGATTACTATAAGACGCCAGTGAGTTTTCCAGGTCATACAAACGATAAAAGACAAACATTTTGTCAATCTTAAGGCTGAACTTTGTCAAGCTTTAAGTATTTATTTTTCACTAGTTACACTGAATTATTAGAACAAGGGTTAAATATAGTTAAGCTATTTATTTTATGGTTTCAAAGCTATGAAGTTTGTTAAAAACAAAAATTAATCTTACTAAACAATTGCATCCAATTGAATAAGCTGTGTTTTGGTTATTTTTATCGAAGGCTCAAAAACGATCATCAAAATGCTTGTGATAAAGATAACCCTTCCAATCAATGGATTAACAAACCTTCCAAGGCAATTTAGACGATACGCTCAGTTAGCAAGTTCTTTACAAAGTTTTTGAAAAGTATTAATTATTAGACAAATTATGTACTTTTCCCAATAAATTTAGCAATGACAAAATGATGCCGAAGTGTCATCATCATTTATAACTCTACTATTCCGCCCTAAACTTTGGTGTCGAAAATGTTGCACAAATATATCTTCAAGAACTGACCAGTTATCTATCGATCAATGCTTGGGAAGCTTTTTGATAATAAGTAACAAATGAAGAGAATTTGAGATTAAATAAAAAAGGCAGATGTTAGTCTGTCCATCGCTAATGCATGGAATCATTGACTCTTTCTGTCGGTGAAAAAGTCGCCATTTTTACAAAAAAGAACTTCATTTTGTAGATTGTTTTATTGAACTGTAAATAAACTCAAAGACCGTGAGGTGCGAAAAAACAGCAGAAAACACGAGTTGCTCTAAGTAGCATAAACACCTATCAGATCTAACAAAGAATTGATCAAATATTTGTTACGTGTGCCAAAGTTTATTCAAGAAACAAGTTGGAAAGCCTCAAGAAAAGTGTTGTTTGCAAAGGGCACTAAGATTACAATGAAGAATATTCTGGCATTTTATCTATTCTGTCTTCCGTCTTCCATACATAAAATCGATTTTAGAAAATAGGATTGCCTTAAAGCGAGGGTAAAGAAGCCGTTGAAAAAAAAACCAAATTAATATTTTACAAAAACGTTTTTACGTTTGGTGAGGTTGTATACAGTTTGCCTTCCCGCTCACATTCGGCCATCAATCATCAAAAATTTCTTTTCGGAAGAAAAAGTTCTCAATCAGTCAAAATGATTTCTTCGGTTATCGTACCTTTAAGGCGGCTCCGATCTTGGTAAAAGTACTAATATAACATTATGAAGTGCAATGCAAGTCCATGATTCTAGCTAAATAAACATCTATAAAGGGAAGATGAACTGAAGAACGAAGCGTGGCATGTGCACGTACCGCTCAATAAATAATACAGCCATTATCGTCTTTTCTCTGACATAAACCTAAGCAAACAGACGCAACTCTTACTGTGTTAAAAACTCACCCAAAAGGCATTAAGAAAATTATAGGAAATTAGTTCAAACTGAAAGCGATTACCTTGAAAAGGATGATTTTTTGAAAGGACTCACACGTGTATTTATTGATGTTCCACGGTTTGGACCAAGTTTTTGGCGATGATTTTTGGTGTTGGCGCGTTGTTCAGCCGGCGGAGTTGAATCAACTAACAGCAACTGAAATCCGGTGTGGGAATGAAAGCATTATCCCGATAAGATCAGTCTTATATGGTTTAAAAAGATCCTTCAACTGTTATAGCTGAAACACCAGTAACTGACCATCTCATTGAAAACAAAACAGTTTTCTTTTTCCATTGAAAGGAAAATTCTACTTGAAAGGTTTCTTTCAATGTTTCTTATAAGATTTCCATTTTTTTTTTTTTTTTTTTTTTTTTTTTTTTTTTGAAGAAGGGAAATTGATAATTGAAAAAGCTTCTTTGAGCTCGGGTTTGAAAACAAAATAAGTAAACTATATTTTCTAAAAGCAGACCGCGAAAAGACTTAGCGAAAAGGGCAAAGTTGCCTTACATCACCGGCAAGACCATCAGAAAACGACAATGATTCCCGCTAAAATTCCAGAAGTCAGATTCGATAATTCAATCTAAAAATCTAGTCGAAAATCTTTCAAGGTTAAGGGGATGGTAATTAAATGTTTCTCTTTTATCGCTAATACTACTTGTTAGTCGTCGCTTCTTATCTCCCAGCAAACAAAAACGAGTCAACCCTGGGGGTCGGTTAGGTCAGCCGTCTTCCATCACACCAAAGAGGTTTCGATGCTTTAGCCTCGGCTTTAAAGTGATTTATAAACACTTGAACAAGTCCGTGTAAATATTCTGGTTAAGGGAAGTTGTTTTGGGTTATTATCTTTCACGTTTTGGTAAGATATGGCCTTCTTTGTAGGGGGCTTTTGAGAAACACAGTTTGTTAAGATAAATAAATATCTCAGTTTATCTGGACACCAACTCGGTGAGAAACACTTTGATAATTGAATGCTAAAGTATTTTTAACCATGAAATTGAAGTTTTTACAATCTTCTTTTAAACGCTGGATTAAATGATAGAAGCGGTGAGGAAAAAGAAAAATGAATAATTCATAAAAAAAAAAACAGTGGCATCCACCTCACTGTACTTACCTCTATACACCAAACAGAATTGTAAATTCATTAACAAGAATTTTAGATCGTCTTTTCCATGGATCTGGTTTTTTAGTTGGCCGACAATCCACGCGAGTAAAGACTTATTCTATATCCTTTCTTCTCACTTTAAGATATTGTCACTGATTTTGTACGAAAAAGCTCACTTTCCCTTTCTACTTCAAGTCCACTTCCGATTTTTTTAGAGTGCGTCGTCAAACCTGTAATAAAAAGACCTTCAGTATATCAGAAAAGAATCCTGCAGTGATTTTTGTTTGTTGATTTGATGATTTTGTTTGTGAAAGATTGCCTTGATTGTACCAAGTTTGAATGGTATTTTTAACCAGTTTATTTTACAGTTAAAATCAACAATATTAGATAGCCTGACCTTTTCTTTTTCCATTTTCGATCATAGTGTTTCGTGTCTTTTTTCACAATCTTCTTATCCCACTTTCCTTCGCTTCTTGCTTTACAAACGGCGCATAATTTCATTAGTTGAATCTTTTTGTACCTCAATTTGCTAATTTTAATAGTTTTCTTTACTGCGCTTTTTATTTTCAATTTTTACTTCATAAAAAAAGATTGTTTCAACGAATTTCTTTGGTTACATTGTCGTGCGAAAATAAATCGAATTTACGACAAAAAAAGACATTTTTAATTTTTTGTTTTACTTTTTTTCTTGCAAAGCAGCTTTATTTATTATTTAATTCAATCTTTTTATCGTCCAAACATTCCTAGTTTGGTTTTTTTTCCCTACCTGTTATATCACAGGCAATAGTCATTTAGTCGGCTAATTTTTGAACTGGTTTAGTTGAGTACTGGTATGACACACAATAAGCTTTAAGCATAAAAATGACACTGCATTGCGGGTACTAATTAGTCTGTGAGCTAAACTGCGGACCAGAAAAATGCACGTGCCGGCAAGCAGCGGAGAACTCCAAAAGCACTTGAATTCATCTCAGTGTCCTTTTTCAGTTTTCGTGCCTTCATTTCGTGTCAAAATTCTTTAGATAGCACAACTTGTATAATGTTATTAAACTTACGTTATGATGTCGTTATTTTATTTTATCAAGGGAATTTTGTAAGCGTCTTTCAATTTGGTAAAGAGCAGAAAGCATTTTAGCCAACCTAACTAGTAGAGCGATTAATGCTCTGTTCCATTGACGTGATAGTCTGTCAATTAGGGCAATAACAAGGCTTTCAGCTAGTAGCATTACTAAATAGTCTGAATACTGAGTAATAATAACTAGAGCCTTTTGAGAAGAAGGTAAAAACTGCTGCAGTACTTAGAAAGAAGAAAAAAAAAAGGAGACTGAAAGAGACTGAAGGAAGGGGAAGGAGAAGGAGAAGAAGAAAGAGAAGAAGAAGGAGATAAAAAAGTAGGAGAAAAACTGGAAGAGGAAGACGAAAATAACAAATAATCTAGAGTTTGTACTCTCAGTGGTCAAGTGTGCCATCAATATCAGCTATATTTCTTACAATTTCGCTATTACGGGAATGTTATTTTGTTTTGCATGTGAAAGCGATATGTTTCAGTACACTTGAAACTGTTCTGGGGATTAAATCAACAACTGGCTTCATGTTGCAAAAAACTCGTACGTGGGGTTGAAATTCATGGCCCGATTGATTTTAGTCTTCTTTAATTTTAGTTCAGATCTGGAGTAACGAGAAACCATGTGAACCATGTGAAAAGCGTAAAAACAGCATTATATGATTTAATAAGAAGTGCTGTGGAAGCCTAAACCAGTAAGCCAGCCCATCTAAAAATAGTGAAAAACCTGCTTAAAAGTGTTGAATTGAATTTCATCAGGTGACTTAGTTTATCAGCATAAAAAAAATTTTTTTAAAAACATTTGTTCTTGCCTTTAATATTATCATTATTATTTAATCTGCGATATCTTTGAGTAATTTTATTTTTAGTTTGTAATTTTTTGTTGACAATTCTAAGTTGTGGCGAACGTGATCTTTATTCTCCTTTTGTAAGTCGGTTATATGGGATGGCATTAGTGGTATCGCCAGTCTTAAACATCATCGGGTCTTGTTACAGATTCATTTTAGTTTCGATTACTGGGGCCTCTTGAATCGATAAAGGGCTAGAAAAAGGAGAGACTTGGATATCGCCAAGGACTGTAAAGTACTGACCAGTGTCAACCAACAACTATATCCCAACTAATCCAGTATACTTGGATAATATTACCTAGCGGAATATGGCTGCAATTTTTGTTGATTTTATCTGGTTATTTAAAAGCTGGTTTTACTTGTTCATTTACTATAGTGCTTTCGATCTATTTTTTTAAAACCTAAAACCACTATGAAGACTTAAGAAAATACCAACAAGACCGGCAAGATAGAGAAAGAAAGAAAGAAAAAACAAATTAGAAAGTTAGAAAAGGAATGGAGAAAAGTGGAGAAAGATGAAAAAAAANAAAAAAAAAAAAAAAAAAGAAAATAGAAGAAAGAAGAAAGAAAAAGAAAAAGTAAAAAAGAGAGAGGGCTTAGAAAAGAAGAACGGAAGGAGGGAAAAGAGATGAAAGAGAGAAATATAGAAAAAAGAACTGAGCAAAAGAGAGCATAAAAGTGAAACACCGCCGCACGAGCAAAAATTTAGAGAGCATAACAAAAAGCGTCATGTTCTACTGGTACCTTTAATGACAATAAATGGACCTTTCTCAACACTTTAACAAAAGTATTAATTTCCAAGGCTAAAACCGCATAATACATGATTTATTACCAAGAACTGGACGCTTAAATTGCACCATTCAGTAAATTACGCAATTACTGTGAAAGATTCAAGATTTATTTTCGATAAAGATGTAATTTATTTTAGTTTGAAAGTATCTGGTCTCTTTTCGGTGATTTTGTTATTGCAAGGGGTAGAAGGTAAAAGGCCTTTATTGCTCTTACGAAACCCTATACCTTAAGAAGAAATTATATCTCAATATATAGTTTGATACTAAGCCTTCATGAATTTATTATTGGTTCATTGAAGGAAACACTATATGAAACAGAAATCAAAATCAATCTTTATGAAAACCCCTTCTTAACTGAAACACGAAAGTGATCTGGTTTAGACCTCAAATGGAACAGCGAAAAGTGATAGCCCGTGGGTAAGAAGATCTTCTGATTGGATTAACGATCAAGATATGGTTTATCCATCCTTTATTACATTCATTTACAAACAACCAACAAAAATAATTCTTCATTTCCAGTGATAGTCTATATTTCATTTTCAAGATTAGTGCTGTGTTGTAAAACCTGAAAACTGAGCTGAAATGTGATCACGCCAGCTCGTTATAGAGAGTAACTTTAAGAACATCCAGGAAGTAACATATTAGAGAAGTTTTTATTGCGTATTTTGTACAACACTTGTACCCGACACCTTCCCGCCCCCTTTCCCAAAACCCATCAAGCTGACGCCTTTCGTTTGCCCTTGTTAGAAACTATGGCACTAGTCATTTGTTTGCTTACTAAAGAAACTTGCTCTTTTGGAAGGTGAGAATGGGTACTTCTGGCTCAGATGTATCGGGATACTCAACAGCTTTCTTCTCTAGATTCAAATTAAGTAAAAATAAGAGGTGTCATATCGTTGACAGGGCAAGCTTACGCTACTCTTTGTCACCCCAATTGAACGAATTACTATTCAGCTTTTATATGACCCCGCAACTTCTCAAACTTTGCATTTTTTCTTTATTCATTTTAGGGATGGCTTTACTAGGGAAATCTGGTAGCCATATGGAAGTAAGACCCAGTATTTTTAACTTGACGTGTAGTTGCAACTAACGAACAACAAACACCAAACTACCTTTGTTCCCGCCAATCACAGGTTATAATATTACCTCTATTAATTAGCAAATTTCACTGCTAATAGCCTTATGGAATAAATGAAGTGTTTAGGGTAACGTTTCAAAGGTACGGATCGAATGGGATCACGGAAAGAAACACGATCCCCGACTATTATTACTATCATAATATTTTTCATACAATATTTTAATTTAGCGGCCTACAGTCCTTTCAATTAGTCAGTGACCTGAGGAAAGCGTTATGGCCAATGTAACTGTTATTAAGAGATGATAGACAGTCTACTGGCCTGTCTTATTCAAGTGCCCGTGCCGTAGCGGAAGTGCTTTTCTTGAAATACAAGAAGAAGATTGACATTGTTTCTATGGTATTTGGTTTAGCATCTCCTGAGAAAACTTAAAACCATCTGGACGATAAGGCTGGACCAATCAGAAAGCGGCTTTGGGGCCTTAATCTTAATTTAATAATGACAATGTCACGCTACTGAAAGAGAATTTGTCTGACGGCTTCAGAGTGACATTTGCTTCTTAACCGTGCGCTATTCGATGCCAGGCAACTATAAAGTGTGTGTGTCGTCTTAAGTTCAGACAAACAGACAATACAAAGAACTGAAAGGATAAACCGGTCCGCCGCGAGCAACAAGATCGTGCAAAAGAGGATGCTTCCCTCATTCAGTTTCACTCCAGAACAAGTTGCGTGCGTTTGCGAAGTTTTGCAACAAAGCGGAGACATAGAACGTCTAGGAAGGTTTCTATGGTCTCTTCCCGAGTGCGAAACCATCCAAAAGAACGAGAGCGTACTGAAAGCCAAAGCCATCGTTTCGTTCCACAATGGCAACTTCCAAGAGCTGTACCGTCTCTTAGAAAGCAGCAACTTTTCTCCAGCTTCGCATCCAAAACTGCAATCGTTATGGTTAAAAGCGCACTACTTGGAAGCCGAAAAGCTACGAGGTCGACCTCTAGGAGCTGTTGGCAAATACCGAGTACGACGCAAATTTCCACTGCCGAGGACAATTTGGGATGGTGAGGAAACTAGCTATTGCTTCAAGGAAAAATCGAGGAATATTCTACGAGAGTGGTACTCACATAATCCTTATCCTTCTCCTCGTGAAAAGCGGGAGCTGGCAGAGAATACAGGACTCACCACGACACAAGTCAGTAACTGGTTCAAGAATCGAAGACAGCGCGACCGAGCAGCCGAAGCAAAAATAAGGTAAGCCTGAACATCTTGTACCAAAACCATTGACTCAAAGTTTGAGTAAACTTTAGTTTGAGAAAACTTAATAGCTTGACATAATTCCTTTCGTCTGTTTATAAGGCATAATTTGAGAGGTTTATTCCAAAATTGTTTTAATTAAAGAATTTATCAAAGTACTCAAGATTCGGAAGTTGATTTGCCAAGTTAAACTAGTTCAGTAGATGCAAATTAAAACTGTCTTAACAGGTAGAAATGGACCATTACATACCGTTAAACGCTGACGGAAAGTATTGACTTGATAACTGTTAAGTCGACTTTGGAAGAGTTCTGGCAGCACGATGATTACTTGTTCGAAGAGTCGAGATAACGGAGGAAGGACAGCACAGCCGTCCGTCTTGCGCTACCAGTGTTCGTTTACCAACTATGAAATGACACTAATATAGGGTCGGAATAGTTTCTTTCACTGCTAACCTATATCTCAAGATATCACGCAACATAATGAGCAGCGATTATCAGACATGTATTTTGTTGCAGAGTCCTATGGTCTCTTTGATATGTTGATATGTTGGCCTGTGATACGTGATTAGCGAGCTAAGGAAAAAGAACACCAAATAGCTCGGTGCACGGCGAGACCCGCTTGAGTCCGTTTGTCGTTTGTCTCCACCTACCAGCACTTCGATGCTCTCTTACCGTGGTGGTTTTGATAATGTCTAACCCGTTAATTTCTTGTTACAGGGAACTGACAAACGACGCTCGAAACGGCAAGCTGTTATCTAACGATAAGCAAGGCAACATGGACGCCAAGAAATGCGTAACGACTGACTTTTCACAATGCTTGTCTCAAAGCATTCCAGTGAACGTGAAACTCGAAGTCGATGAAGCAACATTAATGGGAGTAGCACACCATGCAGACTCAGTAAATGATTTCAGCCAAGGACTACAGGACTCAAACATGTTAACCACTCTCACAAATTCGTTAGTGGGACTGTGAAAAGTCTGGTTAGATCTCAATCTTATTGTATTATTGTTCAGCCTTTCCCCTCATTCACTTTTACCACAAGACCAAGTCCAATTTCACTAAGAGAAGACGTTTATCGCAGAGGCTTTCAACGCACCAATAATAATTGCGTGTTAACTCAARTTGAAAATGTCACATCGACTTGTAACATTGAGCCCATTCACCAAAACATTAACAGTTTTAACGTAGAAGTTCGGCGACAAACTGTGTGTGTTTTTTTCACACGAATCCAATCAAGAGCGTTGTAAAGAAAACGGTATTTCCGCTCATCGTGAGAGGAGCTTAGTCAATCCCATGTAAAGCTTCAGTATACTTTTTTAAAGAAAAAAAAAAGAATTACATTCATCCTGCTCCTTTCGTTTACCTACCTTCGTTTGGCGATTAGAGCTTAACACACATTAACAGTGTGAAAGGAATCAACTTTGAATTGTCATTTACATTGTCCTAAGTCATGAGCCAATAGTCAATGTTTTGCTAGCCGTCGGCTAACCGAGTGTTACCAAGTTTTATCATGTATATGCCTTCATAATGGTAAACCTTACAAGTATGTATTCTTCAGATATTCAATCCCGATTGTACAAATTATATATACACATTATACATAATATTTGTACGAGGTAATGTTCTTTATACCATGCTACGCTAATTCAGGTGTAATATGCTTATTAAGGAAAACCTTTAGTTTTATTTGGGGTAGGATAAGCGGCTTCCTTACTGACGAGAAACCCTAGGTCTTTCCGCCAAAACCCATGAATCAAGAGAAGCTCATTTTACATTCGACCCCCATTCTCATATATCTCATATCATTAACTCCTTGGAAATCGAAAACCTAAAACCAATCGACCCGCATCATTTGGAATACGATAGATGGTGAGATTCGTGGCGAAAGGCTTCTCTTTTAGCGAAAACAAAGAGGAGAGTCAACCGTTTATTCGATACAACGTCTTCACTGCTGGTTGCTGACTCATTCATCGCGGTAAGAATATTTGTTAAACCAATGATAATTGCGTTAGTGTATATATTAGTTAAGTGTTGTTCTTGTGATAAAGTGCTGACGACTATAACTCACTCTAGTATTGGGAATTTTCGATTGCCGAGAAGGCGTCTTTGAATTTTCTAAACACGAATTCTTATCAAGCCGTTCGCGCTCCCGTCGTGACTTTGGCAAAACAATTTATTCAAAACCATCTTGATTCGGGACGTTTATCWTGGTTTCATAATCGCGAAAACAGGCTAAGAAATGAACAGCTATAGCTTTACTTTCTAAACAAAGCCTGTCCTTATAGAATAATGACTTACTGATTTTCAGTGTAAAGTAAATGTACATATAATAACAAAGAGAGTGTGTAGCACCCTTGAAAGCTCAGGGACATATTCGATTTCGTGATTCGGGATGGGCGGGTTCGCAGAAGCCATGGTTTATCGGTGGTTCGAATCATAAGTGATGACAGATTTTGGCACTTTGGAGCAGACGGCCCTAGTAGGGGCTCCATGAAGCCCCGGTTGATGCACACTTTCTAAATGTGGAAACCATTTTACAGCGAGTATTTATTTAAGACGTTTTCACACAAAAGTGCTGTAATTCACATGTATCGAGCTGCTTTGTCTAATGGACATGTCTTCTTAAATGAAGCAATTAAAATACAAAAGGTTCTTTATGCCAAATGAATACCATTTATCAGCATAGCACATGTCAAACAACACATGTTAACAACAGAAACTACACTCAATGCTTATGCACGCGACCAAGAATCTAGCTCTACTAAAACTTGAATCGAAAATACTTTGCTTACACAGTTGGTAGATGACTCGCTCTCTGGACTAAAAACAGTAAGGCCGATCGATATCCGACTTATGTTATTATAACGCTAAAGAGTACACAAACTTCTATAAAAAAACGAGAGTAAGAGTCATTGCCGCGCGACAATCAACTTAAATGTGCTATGTGATTACTCCTTGATACGATTTACACAAGTTGTATAGAAAAGCCAAACTCTAAAGTTGATTGCTAACGTCTTTATTTCCTTGGGCAAATGTACTTGATTACAAGGGAGGAAGCCTCGGTGAATTAAAACTTTTAACCAGTCATATTTTGTGTATCTTATGTGTGATAATAGCGGAAACTCAACCAAGCCACATGATCAATTTTGTAATCCGAGTATCCCTTCATTATATGAAGCACAAACAAATGTCATAAGGAGATAAGAAACAAACGCTCGATGGACGTTTAAGGCTTTTATTCTAATGACAAGAATAACAGGATGGGTAACTTCCTAGTCCGGCTAGCTCCTCTTCTTTTCATCTTACGGTTTCGATAAGGACTCGCTTCAATCTGGGATCCCTAATGACCCGTTTACTGAAGAAATCTTTGTTGTGTCCGTTGCTTTTGTTTCTTTTGTTGAACGAAGCGCGTGCGCAAAAGGAAGGGCCGATGGAATGGTCGTTGTCAGGCTACTTTGCGAACAGTCTAACGCATTACTGAACTATTTTTCCTAAGCAAATCGAATTTGAAAAACTTCAAGTGTGAAGCAATCAGAAAAAATTGTGCTAAATGTTTGCTTTTTTCTACTCAACGAATGATGGAAAACGATTAAGCTCATGTCAGCTTTGTAGGCAAATAAATAAATACTCACAAGAATCGACTTGACTGACACGCAGCCAGGAACAACTATTTCCATCAAATTTCTATTTAATACCATTTGGAATATTGACATTTGGTCTTCTAGGAGAAAATTCCTCTGAAGAATTTGAATAGAGTTTGAATGCCTTACTGAGAATGAAATTCGGATTAAGACCCGAAAACGGGCTTGCTAAAAATAAGTCTATTAACGGACGCAATACCTTTCGCAACATACCATAAAGAAGGAAGCTTATTTCTATCATATGCTTGTGTATTTTCAGTCTTGATTTTAATATTTGCAATAGATAGTTATTTAAGGCTGTTCTAGAGAATTCTCAGAAAAGTTCTTATCTAGAGATTTTCCCTTTTTCCTTCGAGCTACTTTGAGCGTTTCCGATCCGAAAGAACGAGGATTCTATTTAGAGAAACTTTCTTGGATTATCAATTATATCTAATATTCACGTTAACCAAAGCTGGAACTACTTTAAATACAGATTCCTGAGTGCTAACATCGAAATAATTGCAACATCATGAATAATAATTATCGTACTTCGTATGCATTTGTTAGACACAGACTGCCTTGAAATCGTCGCTAGCTAATTTTGAACCAAAACAATTTCCTAAAGATAAAAAACAAGCAAACTCCTGAGCTAAAATATCCGTTTATTTATACTTTCTAAGTCAAAATAGATGTTGTTTAGTCTTTGAATGTCTTTTTTATCAGAATTATTATCTCCTAAGCTGTAGAACGACGACACATACGTGAAGGGGCGCTTGAGAGTGGATGGGTGCCATGGTAACGTGTGCGCGGGAGATAAAATTACTTGAAGTATATAGATTGTAATTAGGGGGTAACAGAATACAACTCTTAGAATTTTAGTAGGTTTAGCTAAATGAGATTTTGAAAGGCTTTGAATCAGTCAAGAACTCATTTCTAAGAGTGTCAAACAAAGACTTCACCTCCAAGTTATTATTTGTTTTGCTTTAGAACTTTAAACGCAATACAGAAATATGGTCAATATGTGAAAGTTCTTCTTCTAAACGGCTTTTTTAGGAACTTAACTTGTGTCGTATATTCAAAATGTGGTGTAAATAAATATCAATTTCAATGAAAAACGAAAATGTAAGTCTGGTGTAACCTAATGCAAGTTTATAATCGGACAGTGTTTCGGTCGTGAGTATAGCCGAACTGTGGTGACATGAACTATATGGTTTTGGCAACGCTCCCAAATATCTCGAAAGCTGTAGACAGTTCGTCATGTGTCTCCAAAACATGAAAGAAAAAGAATTTACAGAAAGAAAATAGGCTTAAATTTCTAATCTCTTATTATACATAATCTTGAAGAACATGTAAATTGGTTTGTTTCTTTAACATTTGACAAAGAAAAGTTTCACTTTCTTCGGGGTAATTTCTGTTTCCCCAGCGTCATGGCGGACGTTGACAGAAAATGATTTCCATACATAAACAGCTTTTTTTTCTGTCGTTTAGACATTTTTTGGTATAAATTGTCATTTATAAGAATACAGATTTAACGGTTCCTTTGTTGGAGGTAACTTGTGACTGAACCAAGCATTTTCGTCATTTACTTTGTGATTTTGTTATCAATGTAATTCCTTCTTTGGGACATCGTTTGATCAGTCTAAACAAAACGTAAATTAAAATTTCCTGGGTGACTCATTATGAAACCAAACATTGTCTGATGGTAGATTCTTTTCGAGATTTCTAGCAATTATTGAAAAGATACGTCAACAAAAGATTTCGAGAGAAATTACCCAAAGGAAACCTAAGAAAACCTGTTGCTTGTTTACTAGAGTGAGCAGATTTTACTGAATTGTTTTCCAGCAGCATCATCTTTTTCCAGAGAAATTCTGAAAGCATAAATGCCATGTGGCTTTGTTTTACTGACTCGTTTGCTCGTTTGTTTTCTAGGTTGATAGAACTAATAGATTTCTTTTGTAAGTGTACAGCAATTTCATATACATTTGAAAATCTATTGAAACAGCCGAAATCACTTAAAGTGTTGATGCAGCGGAAGAAACCTTTGGCAATGAAGAAAATTATTTCCCTCTCTCCGTGCCAAAATAGCCTTTGCCAACGAGTTTAGAATAAAAGAAGCGGTTCAACAAAAAACAAACCTTGCATTCAATTCGATTTTCAACTATTTTATTTCCACTCAATCTAAATTCAGTATTTTTGTCATTTTTATTTCCTGATTTTGTTGTTGTTATTTTTTTTGTTTTTTTTTCCGCGTCCCGTTCAAGTTTACAAAGTACTAGTCGCTCTTTGATCTATCTTAGGCTAAGCTCAGTCATTTCTCTTTCAATTCTTGTACATGCGTCTTAGTTTCTGTTCATATCATCAAGCTGTACATGTTATAATTCGATACTTCTGGTCATCAAGTGAAACCTTACAATAACTTTGTTTCATGACCTGTCGTGGTTTCAACTTGATACCTCTCTAGTGTTTCACTCGGTAAAACTATCTGCTTTTCTAACAACTCGATACAATAAAAATTATACCACATAGTCGATTGACGGCTACAATATCATCTATCCAGCACATTTCAATTAGGCCTTCATTTTCTATCTCAAAGTAGCAAAATAATCATGCCATGGACTTCAATTTATTAGTTTCCTGTACTTAAGGGTAACGTGGTCATTGATTTTATCTATGGAATCAGTTGCATTAGTGAAATATAATTTAAAAAGTGATTTAGACTGATGAAATTGTGGAGGGTTTCATTTCAGGTCAAATTAAAATCTTAAATTCGATCGAATTTAGCCTTTGATGGATCGAATTTTTAAGGCAGACAGCCATAACGAATAAAAGACACAAAAACGCACGGCTCTTTTTTTCAATGAGACACTGAGATCCGTGGCATGTGAAAACGTAGGCTGTTAGAGAAAAAGAAGTCAAAAATAGCATAATATTTAACATTAAATGAGTGTGGGATTACTTGATAATAAATTAAAAGTTGAAGATATGGAGAAGCACAATGTTAAGAGGGTGAAGGTCATTTCCTAAATTACTTTGCAACCATTGCATCATGGAAGATGATATCATTTTCAGCTAGAAAAACACGTCTGGATACGTCCCTCTCTCGCCTCAAACCAACTTGAATAGAATTTCAAACATGGAAGTGATATTCAAGAGTGTCTTTATAAGTGGACTTGGGTGTTCTGGCTCGACTGTATCTTTGTCAGTAGAGTTGTGTTTCAGAGCTTAATTGATTGGCTCTGATATGAACTCTCGCCACCGAATAAAAACACGTACTTACAAGTATCACACGAAGCCGCTTTTCCCGCCAAAACCGATTGAAAACAAGAATGAAATCTAATGCACATGAAGGCGACGT